GTGAGCTCTCATTCTAAGACTTAATCAATCTTTCTACATTTTCTGAATCTTGTAATTTGGATGCTTCATGGAACTTGATATTCTGAGGAACTAAGAACAGTGTACATGTCTTCCCTTCCTTTGTCTTGATCTTAAATGGTTCTTTGGTGCTTTGTAGGCATTTCCTTCTCTGCCTGTACGGAACAATAGCCATTGGGTTTATTCTTGCGGGGAGAGTAAAAGAACATCGCCTTGTTCATGTTTTAACCAGTAAGTATCATACCATGACCCTGTCCTCAAATTGTATCTTAAAGCTTTTGATATCTGAAGCTAATATGTAGCGTCTGGACTCTCTCTGGACAGTGTATTACGGGATAGAGAACTCTTTCTGCAACTTAGCTCCTCGTGTTTTACAGGTAACAATGACTAAATCGATCTTCCTCGCTTGTGTACCATACGCAAAGAGTAATCTAATGGCTTGAGTGGTTGTGTTTGAAACAGTGGCTAGTTGGTACATACAATACACAAATACTATTAATGGTGTTTCTTTCCCTTATTTCCCTTCTCCTTGCTGGGTTCTTCACCTACCACGTCAATCTCTGCTTAACCAACACAACAACTAATGAGGTAAACTTTGTGACCTCTTAGAAATTGATCATATATTAGCTTAGAGTTTGGCCTGTGATCTCTTCCTCAACGGCTCTGTTTGTTTGTTGACAGAAGTTCAAGTGGACGGAGTACACAAGTTTGCAGAAGAAGATAAGCGAAGCAAAGGCAAGTGCTGCAGCTCTCAAGGCAGGGATGACCGCAGAGCTGGAACGTCCAGCAGAGAGCATTGCCAATCGAAATCTGTAAAACAAAGGAAGCTTTCGGAACATTTCTGAGATTTTTTTTCCACTATCTTTAAGACAATCTTTCTGGAAAACAAATCATAAATCTGATTAGCTTTAACTTGACATAATGAAACAAGAGGTCTCGGTTCAAAACTATTTACAGTACATATCTTAAACATCTGCTTACCTTCAAGAAAAAAGGGTTTTATTGTTCTTTACCAACAGCTTTATACAGATCTTGGACAATGCTGGTAACAAATCTGTCATCTTCCACAGAGCTCCGTAAAACTTTCTCATAGAACAATATCCCCTTCTTGGCTTCGCCACAGTTCATGAATCCCTTTAGGATTGTGCACCTGCAAGAACTGTCTGGGCTAATACCGGCTTCCGACATCTTGCAGTAGATCCTTTCGGCCTCATCAATCATTCCTGCTTTGGCAAAAGCAGAGAGCAATGAACAGAAATGGCTTTGAGATAGCGGGATCCCTTTCTCTTGCATGAGAGTTATCGTCTTCTCTGCTTCTGAGTACTGTGAACTCTCAGCATAGGCTTGAACCAGAGACAGGTATGTGGATGAGTCTGTAGAGCGACCATTTCTCTCCATTGCTTGTAAAAGTTCATCAACCTTGTGATGGAGTTTACCGGTTGCACATATTTTGACCATCATGTTGTAACTAGGCTGCAGATATCCCCAAAAATTAACGATATCCACTATTAGATTTAAGATATTTCATAATGTTAGGCCACTGGGAAGATCTCACGAAAAATTTGGCTGAACCACACCAATGTATAATACCTACCGTTCCAGGTTTAATCCCTTTCTTCTGCATTTCACTGAACAACGCCAATGCTTCGTTCATTTTTCCTAGTAAAGCAAGAGAAAGTTTCATTTGTTTACTGCTATTAATGAATCAAGACCGTTCAATGTTACAAACCATTCCATGTGTGCGAGAAATTGTGTTTATCGTACACGAAATGAGTATAAATTTCTTGATTAAATACATACCAGCCTTCCCATAATGCATAATCATATTTGTGTATATTTTCTCGTCCAAATACAATCCTGATCTGCGGGCGTTAGTAAAAATCTCAATTGCTTTGTCCAGCTGCAGACCCCGCCCGTATACACTGCATCAACCCACCAAGATGGCTAGAACATTACAGGACAATCAACTTGCACAAGCCTTAAACATAGGAAAGGCAGACCCTGCCTTTACCTGATCATTGTGTTGTAGGTCTGAATCGAACAAGGAACACCTGAGTTACGCATCCACTCATAAATTTCAGATGCACGCTGCAGTTTACCTGTGACAACAGAGGTTTGAATTTTAGTTCTTTGTACCATAAACTTCAACTGAGATTAATAAACAATCTGTTCTACCTGCTTCTAGCATTGCCTTGATAAGAGTATTATAGCCCACAGTGTCAAGCTCCATATTTTTTTCAAGGCAGGTCTGTGATATATCTTCTGCTTCACGGTGTTTCCCTGTAATTGGGATAAAAAAACG